CTTACTTCGATATAAGAAGAAAACTTTAGATTGAAGTTTTTTTTAAGCTACTAACTTACATTAAATGCAGATGCTCTCAGCGGTAAAGTTTATTTTGTTATATTTTTTCTTATTAAGCCTTTTAAAGTTGATTTGTGGAGCAGGCTGTTATATCCACACACTGTGTTTGTCTTACATTATTGAATCATACAAAGAAAGAGAGTATATTTGAATGTCCTGGTGTGTGATATGCTATTATCATACTGCCCTCAGGCTCATATTCCGGATCTGTTTTCATCTTCGGCAAACAAGTCGGAGCTCTTTACATCAGCATGGACTGGCCCATACTGCAGTGACTGCAGTGCTCACACAGGCACTTGATTCATCAACTTATTTTCTGGTTAGTTCACTGACAGCAACATGGATTTTCTGACTGATAGCTCAACCTCTTGCCTTGTGGTCCCTCTGCACCACTTGTCTGATCAGACCTGTTCTCAGAGGCTGTTCTGAGAGTTTAAAGTAACCTTCACACACTTCTCTGGTCGGTCAGTATTACAGCTTGCTATGAAATATTTAACACCAGCAGATCAGAAAATTTAACACGCACTTTGTGATTCTTTATGCTGCTTGATTCATCACACACAATTATTTCTGTAAGTCGTTTCCCTTTGTGCTGCTGCAGCCTGTCTGTCACTATCAAAGCTGCTGCTTTAATGGAAAATAGTGCCACCTGCTGGCAGAAAATCCAAACAGCGTGTGGCAAACCCCCATCACTGAGGCAAAAAGGAATCTGTTTGTCGACTTTATCTTCGCGCATATAAACTCAGTTGCATCAATCTTCCAGTGAAATCAAAAAGAATACAAACATATGACCTCCATCCTTTTTAAACCTCATTTTAGCTGCCAAATCATTCGCTTCCAACATTAAAGATCTTTCTGCACCCATTAATATTCATATGTACTAGTTAGTTGACACAGTTGATGTTAATAAGCTATTCTGACAGCTTTAGTTATAACTATTACAACAATGCTCCTTCTGAACATAGAAAGAATGACCTAGTTCAGTGTTAAAGGACTGCTTAATTCCATCTTGGACTGATCTGAAAACGCCACACAAATTTAAATGGTCGACATTTTGACGGTGGAACAATGACCTCCATTTGGACATCTAAACGTGGTGCCCTTTGTCTGAATAATCTTTCCCTCTCAGCAAACACAATTCATGTCACGACACAAAGAGGATTCTTGGGTTTACCAAATGATAAATAACATAAATCTGGTAGAGGTGAGAGCTGTGAGCAGTTACCGCAAAGAGACAGATTATTAAGAATACCCCAAAGGAGCTTCTGTTTCTATACCTCAGGTGTACATATGGGAGTGAGTTCAATATTTTGGGAAAAATTTGATCTGGATATATATTGTAAAACAAATCCATGATTGAAGCAGTCATTTTCTGCCTTCATATTGAGATAACTGAATACATGTCAAGTAGTTGCTCGCTCTAATTATTTAAAAGTGGGACATGTAAATAATGGTGAGCCTTTGTGCTTTTGTTATAGCTCCTCCTGGAGGCTGAACGCTCTAGCTCTCATGCTTAACAGGCCGAGGATCAGTGAAAGACAGAAGCTGCGGTTTTCCCTCTAAGAAACCAAAAGAGGGGTGGTAACTGTTATTTTCTAAAATAGTGGTACATAGTGACACAAAAAAAAGAGTGAGACTAAATCTACCAGTAGGAGATCAAAAGTGGATGATTTTGTCAAAATCACTTCAAATGATCTTAAGCCTGAGGGACACAAGTCTTGGGGATGAGATGAAAATAATTTGTTTGGTAAGGTTCAGTACTTAATCCCCTTTGTTTAAAAAAAAAACTTTTCCAAATTTAGATTAATTTTAGGTATTTTTTAAATTGTTGGCACAAAAATTTTGCAAAATGTCAGCAGTATTATATCACTTTGAATCCCCTATCATCAAGTCATCACTTTTGTAATTAGTGATGAATGATGGCCAATTGTACATCAGTTAAGAGATCATTTAAGTTAGAAGTTCCACTAAAACAATCTTCAAGTCTCATTTTTCAAGACAATAGTCTGCTGCTCCTCATACATACAGTTTGGTATTTCCTGTCCTCATTAATAAGGGCTTAAGTATGGCATTGTTACAAATAGATACCAAATATTCTGCACATAAGCATGTGCACTGAATAGAAATGCATGAAAATGGATTAAATAAAATATTTCATGATATGCAAACATTCACTAGATTTCTTTGTTTGCTTAAAACTGAATTTAGAGACAAAGAAGAAACAAAACGCTCTCTGTCGGTCTGATGCGCAGACACCAGTGAACACATGCTAAAGGACAAACAAAAAGGTTTCTTTTTACCAAAGGCTTCAATGCATCGGAATCTGTTCTGTCACAAATAGAGCTTATTTAAAAAAGAACACAACCAAAAAGCCACAATTCAATAATGGACATGAGAGATAAGAGCCACTGTAAATGCCACAAAAAGACCATGTAAACGTCTCCTGTCTGAATCAGTTTAAGTCTATGTCCATGCAACTGCCTCCTCCCACACAGCGTGCAGCTTTGTGTAGGTGGTCTCTGCACTGAAAAGAAATATTTGCAATGATTTTTCTTGTCTGATGTTTTGGTCCCTCAGATTATAATAAGGATTGCTGCATTGGTCTATAAAAAAAATCATCATCTCTGTGGGTGTGTCAGTGGGATGAACCTAAATCAAACATAAGAAAAAGATTCTTTTTTCAGTTGCATATGCAAGAATTTCATCCTCCCATTTTCCTCCAATTAAACCAGGGAAACCCAGACATTCCTCTCCCCAGCACACTCCCCAGCTCTTCCCAAGGGATCCCAAGGATATATAATCCCCACAGCTATCTAGTCCTGGTCTACTCCAGGGTCTTATCCCAGTAAGACGTCCCTGGAAAAGGCACCAGGTGGCATCCTACCCAGATGCTTCTGGTAAGGAGGGTTTGACCACTTCAACTGACAGCTTTCAATGTGGAGGGTCAGCGGCTGTACTCTGAGCTCCCTCCAGATGGCCGAGTTTCTCACCCCATTTTTAAGACTGAGCACAGCACCCCTCTGAAGGAACCCCCTTTCAGCCGCTTGTGTCCATGATCTCATTGGGTCATGACCCAGATCTGTGAACATGGGTGAGGGTTGAAACAAAGATGAACCGGTAAATTGATAGCTCTGCCTTCTGGCTCATTTCCCTCTGAACCACAACAGACCGGATCAGCGCCCTCATTACTGCGGACGAAGGCCCGGTCCGTCTGTCCATCCCTAGCTCCAACCTGAAATGACTAGTGAACAACACACCCAGATTCTTAAGCTCCTGCACATGGGGCAGGGACTCATCCCCAAGCCAGAAAGAGCATTAGACTTTTTTTTCTTTTTTTGGGGTTGAGAAAGATGGCTGACCCTCGTCCAGGCCGCTTCCCACTCAGCTGCCAACTGCGACAGTAGCCACTGACGGTCCGGGCCACACGAAGCAAACAGAGCCACATCATCTGCTAAAGCAGAGACGCTATCCTAAGGTTCCCAAACCAAACAGCCTCCACTTCATGACTATGCCTTGAGATCCTGTCCATGGAAATCACAAACAGAATCGCCAAAGACAAAGGGATGCCCTGGTGGAGACCAACACAAACTGGAAACAGGTATGATAGTCTACAGGGACTGGATAGCTTTTAAAATACATCCTGCATGTGATTCCCTTGCAAAGGTAAACCTGCTGCTTGTCTTTGTGGTGGTGAACTGAGCATGAAACTGGGGACAATTAGTTATTTTCTCCCCACTTTGATTCACTTTGAAATCATTTAGCAGCAATGTTTTTTTTTTCACTATAATGCTGTATTTTGTCTCAATCTTGTCTGGCTTGTTTTTTTTTCTGCTGCAGGAGTCCAACAGGTCAGAAGGGTTAGGTGACCTCATGAAGGCTAACAAAAGTCCAGTCCCTCACAGCTCCTCCTGACCCGTCGTGTCACACACACAACGGGATACGTCCTGTAAATATATCTTTTAAGAGGCAGCGAGACTCCGTATGAAATTGTGTTTCGACAGTCTAATTGAACTAATGCATCGAGGCCTCATCTGGTTTCCCAACGTAGCCACCAGCAACCACCGACATTCTCTAAGGTCGCCACTTTAAGTAAGAACCAACTGAACTGCAACACCTGCTGCTTCTTCTTTTCTCCTTTGTCTTCTTCTGCTGACTCCAGGGCAGGATTGACACATCTCAGACTCACATCTCACAAAGTGATGCTACAGTAAAATGGGATCCATCCTTGAACGATCTTTGCTGCCAGTCTCATCTGTATCGTTTTAATGTTTTGTGTGTGAGTTTCAGCATAGCGTACTGGGCCAAAATCTAGTATTTGATGTTTTAAATGTATTTCCCCGAAAGGTGGTCATTTGTTGGACTAGGATGTAGGATGAGCCAACGTGACATGGAACAGGGAGATCAATCTAACAAGAAGGGGTTTGGTGTGATTCAGTTTTTTTATTCTTTAAGGAAAAGGAAATATAAATGGTGTGGTTCTGTTTTTTTATTATTCTGGAATGAAAATAGATATATAAAAAATTATAATACCATTTCCTTTGAAACCTTCTTATCAAAAATAGATGATGGCATGAAAAACAAATGAAAACTCAATTTGGGAAAGGTGGATTCCACAATGTTTTAAGAATCCTGTGTAATTATAGGAGACTTTTATTGGTGGACATTTTTGTTTGGCATTGTGATATTACTGGAAGGAGAATGACTTATACTTATTGTTTATTAAACATCTGTGTGAGCTCAAATTACCTTTGTAAATCAAGAGTAATGCCAGAAAAATTGGATTATGATATTCTGGGGAATTTTATCAACCTAATTGTAGGGCGGGGGAGGGGGGGGGGGGTCACTGGCTGTGGGGATGACACAACGTGGGAGGAAATTCCTCAAGAATGTGGAGGCAATCATGCAGGTAATTTTACCTTTTTCAAACGGATTACATCTTCAATTCTCAACATTGTCGGCAAGCTCCGACTGTGCTGTCAGGCACCAGAAAACACCCCCAGTCTGTGAGGGCAGAAATCTCGTTTTAGAAACAGATCTCACAGGGTCGCAGCTGATTCCGTTTCTTTGTTTTTCTTTCTATACTGATAATATTTTAGCACAATATTATATGAAAACGGATTATTCTCATTTCAAATTGTGTCCTCGGTGACGCATGTGTTGTTCAGAAAGGCGAGAGTAATCGATCCCCGTTCTTAGGCGGGGAAGAGCAATGTTTTCATGCCTGCTGACGAGATGCGCTAGTCACTCTGCTATGGCGTCCGCAATGTCGCTGATTAAGGAGGGGACATCATAGCATCTCTACTTCGTTCGCTGTAGTGAGAAACACCGAGTGTTTTTTTATATGTGTCCATCTCTTGGCTTGAATTTAATCAAATTGATCTCTGAACCGGCCATGACCGTGGAGCAGAATGTCCTCCAGCAGCATTCTCAGAAGGTAAGCTGGTAGAAAGATAACTTGACAAGCTAACTTTAGCTTCACTGCATAGCTGTATAGTTTTATGACTCAAAGTGCACGCAGAGTAAAAAAAAAAAAGGCAACTCTATAGTTGGTTTGGTTAACCTTTTATTTTCGAGTTGTATAATTGTCAGCCAGCTATCTGGCTGCAAATGCTCTGAATTGGTCGATAACTGTATTTTACAAAGGCCCAACGCTGCGTTATCCAATATTTTGCTAGCCGTTAGCTAGCGAGTGTTAGCTAACGGTACGACGTAAGTTAGTTTAACCTTACCCGCACCGTCTGAGTTGGGTAACGTTTACGACAGTTAGCCGTTTAACCACACTTATACGACGCTTCGATTGTTAGTTTTAGCACCATGGGCCTTTCGTTTCGCCCTTTCAGATTAACGTCAAGTGAGAAATGACGTTACCGCTCGTTATCTTCGCAGAAAGTAAACGTTTTTAAACCAGTGGGCGTTTTGCCGGAGCGTTTTTCGTGCCCCGCAACGATTTCGATAAATGCTAACGTCTTGTATGTGTGGGCAAATGTTTTCTTGGTGGCTCATCGCATAACCAATACCTTTGTTTACAAAGCATGGCCAGCGGTGAAGGTGGAAACACACCCGAGCCATGACGCTGGGCGGCGATTGAGTAGTCAGATATGGAGCCAAGCGTGTGATGGTTCAAGTCCGGGGAGGCATATTATTATGTTACAACTCATCATATTCTCGCCTTACGAAGGGGCTTTTAGAGTCCCCTCCTTTGCTTAGGCTCCTGGTTATGGGATTTACTCCTTGCCCAGTATTGTATATCTCAGGCAGCTTGACCAATCACATGTCTGATGTGGCTGAAAACACTGTTTACATGTTTGCTGCTATTGTCAAGATGAAGGGAAATGATCATTTTTGCATCTGTTTGATTACAGTTTTCCATTTTCCACATGGTTCTGCTTGTTCTTCCGCAGCCGCCCGTTGGATTTTGCACCGCATCTGACATGGCTGAAAAACATTAGACTGCACTGGGAGGCTTCTCCGAAATCTGGAGCATGGGCAAAATAAATAGTTGAGCTTCCATCAGTGACTCAAACCTAAAAGTAGCTGTGTAACTCAAACCAGTCTGACCTTCACATGGGCTGTAGTTAAGCCAAATCTAACAACAATAAGATAAATACATTTTAAAAAACTTCAAAACTCTTTGGAAAATATTGGCAGCCTTTTTCGGTTGGCAAAATCTTTTTACAAACGTGCTCAGGTTGGATTTAATTAGCCAGAGGCTGTTTTGTTTTGTTTTTTTCTGAGCAGGGTGTGGTGCTGGCTCGCATGCAGTGACCTGTCTGTTGACTCACTGTCCTGCTTGTTCTGTTTTACACATCCAAACCCACTTCAGAAATGTCCCTTTTGCCATATGAAGATTTGTTATTTTTGTCTGGAACTCGCAGGCGTTTCCCCTGAAAAGCGTCGGACGAGTGTGGTCAGCAGCCTTGCCGGACGTGTCACATGAAGATGAAATGTAGGCGTTTGTGTGCATGTCAGAGCCCCCTCTCCTGTGGTGGACTTGGCCCCAAACTGTCACAAGTGCAACTTCCTTCGTACTTCTCTGACCAGTGAGCTGTCATCCGTTCCAGGAAACCGGCAGCCATCACTCTCTGATGGTGACGGGTTACATTTTTAAGACTGATGTCACAAATTAACCATCTAACACCTTTTATTTATAGAGTCTTGGTTAAGATAAAAGAGAACCCCCCCCCTCGAAACACTTAGGTAATCAAAACAAAGACATCTGTCATTAAAAATACCAGAGATGTTCATTCCCTGTTCTGGATTGACATAAAACATACAGCTTTAAGGAGATTAAATAATATTCTGGCTCAATAGTATTTTTTTATACATATTGTTTTTAATGTGTATTAAGTCATATAGCTCCTGTGATATTTGTAATTCTTGTGTGGTTGGCGGTTGTTTCCTGTGAGCCGAGCTAATACACGAGCATTAAGCTCCCTGCTGAGTTGTGCGTCTTTGTCTCGTGAATTTGGAGTGTAGTCACAGACAAATTGGATTTGGTGCATACGTTAGGACCCCGAGGCGTTGTCTTTCTTTCGTTCTCTATAGTGACTCTGTGAAGAAAGATGTTTCCCCCAGGGGTTAAAAACACAGTGCGCCGGAATTATGTAAGTGGTAGCAGAACATGAGTTGGGTCGGTGAAAAGAATGCAGTAAGAGCTGTGTTTTCACGCTTCAATCTTCAAGCTTTCGGGGCTTCCCAAGTATTATTTGTTTTACTTGTATTAAGTTCTTCTTGTCTTCGTTTTCGTTAGTCATGCTTTTTTGTTTTCTTTGGGTCAGACAATAGTAATCCACAAGAATGTTTTTACCTTGTTGACAATGTTATTTGTTTTCCTGAACTTCTGTTCATTGCCCATTTAGATTGAACTATTTCAACAAAATTGGAGTTAAAAGAGTGATGCAACCTGTACGTTGAATTCTGCTAAAATGTAACCCAATGAAACAAAAAATATATGCCGGGCATGCTACTTTAACATAGAGTCTTTCTAATCATCCTCCAGATTTGTATCCCTTTTTTAATCCCTTTTTTTGTTTACAATGTGATTTTTACTGTCATTCCACTATTTAATGTATTGGATGGGAAAGAGGAGGATTCAGGACTTCACCCGCTGCTAATAGAGAGTGTAAGGTGCAGCTCAGCTCTGTGCATCTTTATCTGAAATGCATTACCGTGGCTGAGCCCACACGCTGGATAAAAGCCTGGATGGCCCGCTCGGCTCGGGGCCGTATTACAACCCGAGGCGGGACACTTTTTCACAGCCTTTTGTGCAGTAGCTGTAGCAACAGCATGAACGTGCTGAAAAATGTCGGTCACACTGTGCGCCGTGCTTTCATTGACGTGTGTTGTGTAATCGGTCTGTGGCCTGTGAAAATAATCCACCGTGGGCCCGGACCAGCAGAGCCGCAGGTTTTCTCCATTCTGCGGCCTGCGACAGGCGCCAAAGCCTCCATCGGCGTGGTTCTGAGGCTAGAGAGGGGAACAAATCTTTTGCAAGCCGGAGTTTGGAAATGCACGCAAACGTGTGTTGGAGTGAAAGTTTGGGGCCCAGATAGCGCCGTCGAATCGTTGCTGCTCTTTTTTCAAACTAGGCTGAAGTTAAACGAGCCGCAGCACTTTTTGGACAGGCTTCCACATTCTGGCATGTTTTGTAAAAACAGTCAAGCTCATAATTCTGTCGGATTCCCCTCGTTGGCACATTTTATTGGTTCTTTTGCAGACACATCACAGAGCTAAAAGCAGTCCATCGGGCCTGCGTGTGAACCGCTCGCTCTGCTGAAATCCTGATTTCTAACCGCAGCATCATGTGACCATTCAAATCGTTTAAAGACTTCATCTGTGCACTGACTTCAGCCGAGCTTACATGTGCAGTGATCTCCAGCAGAGACAGTTGGAAGGGGCAGAAGGTCTTGGACTTGGTTCTCCCCCAGCCGACAGCTTGATTCCGCTCCTCTGAATGTGTTCTGGGACAAGCCCAGTGGCCCGAATCAGCGGGCAGTTAGCTCTCAGGTCTGAGCTCAGCTAACACAGTCTGTCGGCTTTTCTGTGTATTATAACACCCCCGTTACAAATCAAGCGGTTGCATTACAGGACACGTCCAGCTTGGCGTCATCAGATCATCAGACTTTGATTTGATTTTGTGTGTTCAGATTTTAAGGAGCTTGTTCTTTTTTGAAGCTCGTTTGAACTGGTTTGGCATTAGCAGTGTGGTTTGTTTCAGGTTCCTTATCCGCTGAGGTGTTTCTAGACTTGTGAGGTCAAAGAAGACAACCAAACGTGTTTTTCTCGGCTTTGACCTCTGGATATTGTTGTTTCAGATGAGCCCAGATGTTCTTTGCAATGTGACTTTGTAGCGGTTGAGGGAATTAGTGTTTAATCGATGATCAGTTAAACCAGCTGAGGATTCTAATCAATCAAGAATATTCTAAGCGACAAGGTGCAGACTTGATGCGACGTTGGTGGGCCGGCGCTGGCCCCAGCTAGTGATTATTTTCCTTATCAATTAATCCTCTGATTATTTTCCCAATCGCTACGTCCATAAAATATCTGAGCTGTGTCCGCTGTGAACTCGGAGCATGAGATCATGGATTATACTTCAGCTCATCTGTCCTAGCCAGCGATCGTTCGGATTTAAACGTGAGGAATGATAATTCCATTAGCTTTTATTAAGAAGTGTTGAGAGAATATTGACGACTGTTAAACCTCTAAGAACTGTTGGACTCTGTCTGCGTGAGAGCTTGTTTTAAGGCTTGTTTTTTAAATTTATTTTACAAATGGATCATCCAGTGAGCAGGTGGATTATTGACTTAGTAACATTGTTGATTTAATTTTCCACCAGTTGAAGAGTTTCGATGAATAATTTCTCCTTTCTAGAAAGATTCAACTTGACCCTCTTGTTCCTTTTGAATTTGCTCCTCTTCCTCGACAGCACCAGCAGACGCTACTAAACCAGTTGAGGGAGGTCACAGGCACCACAGACGTTCAGCTGCTTCAGCAGGCCCTGCAGGTACATCTCTGAAGGCCCTGCACACACACACACACACACACACACACACACACACCACAGTGGCCTCGTCCCTTCTCCACCACACGGTAACAGCTTTACATTTGAGCAAACAGCTGTTTATCCGGACGATTTTCTTGCCGCTGCAGGTGAGCAATGGAGACTTGGCCGAGGCTGTCGCCTTTCTGACGGAGAAGAACGCCAAGGTTCCTCAGCAGGATGAGACCACCTACTACCAGACCTCCCAGGTCGCCAGCGACAGATATATCAGCGTCGGCAGCCAGGCAGACACCAGTGAGCGGCCGAGTTCAGCATCCCACGCCACCGCCATGTGACCGTTTGGACACGCTCGTAAAAAAAAAACTCTTTTGTTTTGTTTCTAGACGTAATTGATCTGACGGGGGATGATAAAGATGACCTGCAAAGGGCTATTGCCCTCAGCCTGGAGGAATCCAACAGGGCGTTCAGGGAGACGGGCATCACTGATGAAGAGCAGGCCATCAGCAGGTGGGCCCATGAGTGTCAATGACCGATTGATTCAGAAACACTAACACTGTGTTTCCTTCCATAATGATGTGGACAGGTATTGAAAGTGTATTGAAAGACATTGATGGTTTTTAGGGTTTTGGAGGCCAGTATAGCAGAGAACAAGGCCAGTCTGAAGCGTACCCACACTGAAGTATGGAGTGATTCACCCAACCCACACGACAGAAAGAGGATAGACACCTGCCCAGTGGGCCTGAAAAATGTGGGCAACACCTGCTGGTTTAGTGCCGTCATACAGGTGAGTACGGGCAGGGATTGGAGGGAAAACACAATTTAACCCTTTTTACACGTTTGTTTTAAGGTTTTACGTTTTTTTATTTCTTTAGCCATTTAAAATCCACCTTATGTTTGCAATTCAAACAGCACTTCCAGACATTCTAATCCACAAAAGAGCCGTTATGTTCCCCTTTTTTGGGGTTTAATCCCCAGTTAGCACGCAGATGGAATATTCTGCTCTGTCTTTAGAACATCTGGTTACGAATGGGCTGTCGGCATCTGCAGCTTTAAATCCAAGTGAGCTGGCAGCTCCCTCTGAAGGAGTTTCATGAGTGACAGAGAAGAGGATCCACTGGGGGCGGTTCAGTTTATGCGGTTCACCGCGGGGTAGCTAACATCTAGATGTTGATGAGACGCTCTGTCACCTCTAACTTTCTCTCTGGCTGTTCCTCGTGCATGTAAATATAGCTGAAGTCACAGCACAGCTGCCGTCTTCTCTTTGTCTCTGATGATTTTGTGAGACAACGCCCACTTGGCGAGATTTGAAAGCATCCGAACGGCAGGCTCTTGGCACTGTTTCATTATCAATCTTTTGTCTGATACTGAGGGGAAAGCAGGTGAAAAAGAGGGATTAATTAAGAAGGCAGATTAAGATACATGATAAAGCTGAGCAGGGAGAGAAGGAGGAAAAAGTAAGTGACGGGCCGACAGACAGCCAGCAAACAGACAAGGACACAGTGGCTGAAATGCTTGTTTGTTTAAATGGTTTCAGTTTGAATATTTGAGATTCTTTCCCTGTGTAAACAGGTTTCAGCATATCCTGCCTGTGGGATGGAAACTGAATCCATTAGCTTTCCATGTTCACACTGAAGAAAGAAGCTGTCATTTTCCCTACGCTTTGTGGCATTAGTGCTCAATCTTTCAATCTTTTGGGAATAATTTTAACCTCTGGCTCTTCAGTTCTTGAAAACCTGATTCTCAGACTAGTTGTCAGCTGGAAAGAGAGTGGAAGACACACTGGAGACACCTCAATATGGCGGATGGCACAGAAAAAAAGCGCTCCCTTTGATTCGGCCTTATGTGGCTGGATGTGACGTAATGACGCCATCTCAGGGAGCCGGGGAAAGGAGTCGCTGGAAAATGTTGGAAACGGGGGGCAGTTAGAACGGAGCTTGAGTGCTGGTGGTCTTGGTGGTAGAATGTGACCTAATTTGGAAAATGCCAGATGAACACTGGATACGCCATCACATGGCGCTTGGCTTCTGCGTGTAATGTTATCCGCATATTAGAGGGCACCGCCTCAGCCGGCCCCGTCTGCACCAGGTGGAAACGGAGTAAACAAGCTACTCGTTTTCAGTTAAAATCCTAATTCTGTCTGCTAGCGCATCACCTGGCTGGGACGAGGCTGAGCCTCGTGCTGCCTGCCGTCTCCTGTGTTTGGAAAGGGGAAGTCCTGGGCACAGGCCCAATACTTTCTCTCGTCCCGTCAGAGTGATTTGAGGTTGTCAGAGGCTGTAATTTCAGTTCAGCTTGTAAAGAAAACAGTTTTGAACTTGTTTGAAAATATTCTGAATTCCATACAAATTTCCCTTATAAGAAGAATCTTTACAAAAATTATCAAGTTATAAAACCTGTTCATTTTTTGTTCCTTTAGAAAATAAAACACAATAGTCCCTTTTTTTTTGTAGGTGGGTGGTTCATAAACTTTGCTTTCACCGTCAGCAGAGGGTAAATTCCAGGATAAGAGAACCCTGACTGCATCGACTCGGCACACGAGTCGATCATCAATCCATTTAGTCTGTTTCCTTTTCTCTGGCATGAAATCATTGTGGCTAAAGACAAAAAGATGTGTTTCTTCATTGAGGGGTTCTGGTCCAACTTAACCTGCCTTCAATCTTTTAGTCTCTCTTCAACCTGCTGGAGTTCCAGAGGCTGGTGCTCAACTACTCCCCCCCCGCCAGAGTCCACGAGCTGCCCCGCAACCAGAAGGTGAGCCGGCGCCGGCGTGCGTGGTGGGCGCCCCCCCCGTCAGCGTCACAGCAGCACTCCCGCAGCGTGTTCCAGCAAGCGGCGCTTAAGCTGCGAGGTCTGACCTCAGAGAAGCCGTGCGTTTAGGTCCCGAGGTCGCTGCGGCTCATGGCTCGGCCTCCACAGCTCTCTGCTAAAGGGAAACGCGCTGAAATGTGAAGCCTTAGTGTTTATCTGACAGCGCACGGACAAGGGGGTTTATTTATTTATTTATTTTTCAGATTAAGTTACTCAGATTTGTTTAACAGCGGTCAGCTGGCAGTATGTTTTTTTATTTTGCTGCCTTCTCCCCAGAAAGTCCCCATCGTGGGGTTTATCCTGCTGCTAATCTGATCTAAGCCTCTGCTGTGGATATTTAGTTCAGAGCTGTCATCTCTTCATCTTAGATCTCTCCATTCCAATCATACCCTGTCCTTTCGCTAAAGTGTGAGATTGCTGGAGCTTAGCGTCTAATCTTAACATCAGCAATCCTCCCAAGTGCAGAAAAACCTGTTGTTTACATTGTTTTTGCCGCTTCCTCTGAGGTTATAGGTCAATTTAAAGAACCCACAGAAAAGAATGTATGATAGCAAATCTATTCAAAAAGCGTTATTTTTGTCAAGTTAAACACAGAAGTCTACAGTTTCCCGTCAACACGGAAACCAGGTCACCCATAAGCATGAGATGATGAGGTTTTTTATCCTGTTGCCACAGTCAGTCACTGTCTGGAAGCTGCACACTCTGATTCAGACGGGGGACGTCAAACTGTGTGGACACTTTGGACTCATTAGTTTTCCTGAAAGCTATCAGGTGTTAATTGCAAACAAAGCCTTCTGTCATCTCGATTCAAAATAAAGATAATAAGGCTGACGTTCCTGCAGTCTAATAATAAAAGAGAAAAGCGGTCGACTGCACTGTGGCCTGTTCATTAGATATTTTTCAGTCCTGCTTTTGACTATTCACACTCAGAATCTTCACATTTAAGGCAAAAGAACGGGGCGAACATAAGAGAAGAACACACATCGGCATTCACGTGGCAGTGTTGATGGAGCCTGGACCCACTGTGGTGTTGTAGTCCTGCCCTTGTTTGGTGGTGGCTTTATGCACACAGGCATGCCTCAGCTGGCTGATATCTCACAGCCCTGTCAGCACTACAACTTGATTGGATTTACTAATGGAGCATTTAATGTGCTGCATTCATACAGCGCTTTGCTGGTCTCATGGACTGCTTGGAGCCATTTTACAGTGGCAGCCTTTCCTCCCATCCACACACACTGCCTCTTATTCTTTATCCTTAACATGCTGATGGGTACAAAGGAGGCAGGGCTTTAATGTGGGCTTGGAAAGTGGCAGCCCCCCCCCCCCCCCACCCACACACACTTGACATCAAGGTTAAAGAGTTGAAAAAAAGGCTCATCCACAGACTTTTTTAGCACATTTTAGATAATGTCAGAAATCGGTTAATGTTGATTATTTGTGTTGTTCTTTTTTAGGTAATTGTGGCAAGCTGATAGTTAAAATGACTTGTGTTCCCCCGACCAGGAGCACAGGTACCTGCCCTTTATGCAGGAGCTGAGGAACCTCTTCTCACTCATGGTGGGGTCCAAGAGGAAATATGTGGACCCCTCTCGGGCTGTGGACATCCTCAAAGATGCCTTCAAATCCAGTGAGTCGCAGCAGGTAAGCGTCTCTCTGCCACTTCCTGAGCAACGCTTGCTTCTGCTGCGGGCCAGAGTTGGTTTTCTGATCGCTTTGTCTCCCACTAATAAGACTGTCAGTGAGGCATTTCCCAACAAATTCGCATTATTAAAGCTAGTTAAAGATAAAAGAGGTGAAAGCCCTGATGCCTGAGCTCTTTCTTCATGATAAGCCTGGCATGCAGGTGATGTCATGGATGTTAATCCACTTCAAGTTAGCTCTTTATGAACCAATCAGAGACTCTGTAAACTGTTTTTTTGTAATATAGATATTTTGTCCTTCTTTTCGCGCAGTGTTGGTGTTTAATTCCCTTTATGCCATGTTTGTTCCTCTCCCAGTCAGCCACTAGCTTGACTGTTCAATTTCTCTGTTGTTTTACAGAGTCAGCTCTATTGAATCAAAGGCCCTTAACCTTTCTAAATCCATGAACTATTAATCTTCAAAGCCACACCGTCCCCTTTCAACTTCACTTCAATTACTGAACTTCTCATCCTTTTATTGCGACAAAAACACGCAAAGTGTACAAAACTATTAAAATTTTCTCCCTACGTAAGCATTAGCACTGAGCCAGTGTCTGAGCCGGGGCTAACCGAGGTCAGCCTTCTGGCCCGTGTGCTCATCAGTCATGTCTCTTCTCTGTGTATTAGTCAGGTTGGATAGTCACTGACCTGAATTATAGGGTGCCATTGATGTCTCTGAGAGAATGGCCTCCGGGCACGCAGGTTCTCTTTGAAGTTCACCAGAATGTGAATCCTCAACAAGGATTCAGTTCTAAAACTGCTGTAAATCTGCTCAAGACAGATACAGCATTGACTCTGATTGATAGATTTTTTTTCTTCTTCTTGTATGTGGGTTCTGTTGAGTTGCAACCATAACTATGTATTTATTTCTGCACTCCGCAGCAGGATGTGAGCGAGTTCACCCACAAGCTGCTGGACTGGCTGGAGGATGCCTTCCAGATGAAGGCTGAAGATGACAGGTAACCTAAAGATGGAGTCGTGTTTGTTGGTGTTACCAGGAAGCATACTCCGCAGCACAGGATCGGATTTGTGTTGTTTACTTGGCACTTGAACAGCTCCAGCAAGTGTTTTATTACAAATGTTTTTCCAGGGAGGGCGAGAAGCCAAAGAACCCCATGGTGGAGCTTTTCTATGGCCGTTTCCTTGCTGTGGGTGTATTGGAAGGTGAGATGAGGTGTTCTTTTTACAGAGGAAAAAAAGAGTGGAGTTGGAAGAGAATCACAAAGTAATGAAGCTTTTAGCATGGTCTGCTATCAGCATCCGGAAAGCAAGCGAGTCCTTGCCCCTAGTGATGAGAGGTGACCTTGTCTTAATGAGATGTGGTCCATGTAAAGCAGCAGAGCGGTTACATTGATCGTAGAGGACCTTGACGGCTGATTGACATTGCTTTTATTATGCATGACAATACTGGCCCAGAGCCACCTAAAGCTGGGCCAGTGGATTCTACTGCTCATAAAACGTCCTTAATGCCTCATCTGTATGTCCGCTAGCAACTACTCCCCCCCTTTTTTTTCTTCTTTCTTTTTTTTGTTTTTTTTGGGATGGTGGTGTGATTCTGATCGGTTGTTGCTGCAGAGATCTGTGCAGCTTTTTAAGTAGGCACGATGAGTGGGTGAGTGCCTGGCAAAAAATAAGCTGAAGGGGTGAAATGCCACAGTTTTAAGTAGGTGATTGGAAAAGAAATCCCTTCTGCTGTACAGTACACAGTCAAACGGCCCGTTCAGGATATAAAATATGACTCTGTTCATCTTTTCATGTCTGTGCTTTGTGCTCTGTCCCACAGGTAAAAAGTTTGAGAACACAGAGATGTTTGGGCAGTACCCTCTGCAGGTTAACGGCTTCAAGGACCTGCATGAATGTCTGGAGGCAGCAATGATCGAGGGGGAGATCGAGTCCCTGCACTCTGCAGAGAATTCTGCTAGATCAGGTCAAGAGGTCAGTGCCGAAGCAGCATGATGACATATGTTTTCCCTTTGTTTCTAAACTATTAATTACCCAAAGTACATTTACCTCAATCACTCTTTCTCATACTGATGGGCTTTTAGCTGCTACAAGCACATGTTTGTGTTGTTAAAATACTTAATTATGGGTGAGATTTTAATATCTCCTGAAAAAACAAGGATGTGGGAGAATCTTTGACTTTGAAAAAAACTTTACACTGGAGAAATCAAATATTTTGAATGACTTTCATCTCGACGTGGAGCCACGAGCTGGCAGTGATGAAGGGGGTCGTTTTTCCCACCATGTTAAGAACATGAGAGACAAGTGAGAGTCTAGGCAGACGTTTTCTGTGTAGAGCTCAAACCTCACGATCCATTCAGACCTGCATGCAGCTGCATCACAAGTTGAGGGAAAAAAAGATCTGCTGAGGGCTGAATTTGCAGCCTGAACGTTCAGGGGGTCTTCTGACCTCAGGCTTTGAGCATCTGGTGTTTACGGGGATCGGAGCTCACCACAATATATTATTATCTTTTTTTTATATACAATATACTTTGCTTTTATTGCACCAAATGCTGAAGGCTTCCAGAGTTTAAAAAAAGGCTTCTCAGTGCAATTTTCCAGCATTTCCCTCCTCTCTTCAGTTTCTGAAACATCGAAATGACATTATATGTCCTCCAACATGGTTGTTTAAGGATCATTTAGGGTTGAGTGACCATGAAATAGGTTTGTTTACTGTTAACTGGTGTTTTGTCTAACAAACAACAAGAGTGAGCTGAAATGTATTTTTCTGCTTTAAGAGCATGTTCAGGCTTTCTTCCTTTTTCTACCCAAAGGAAATTTTTAAAAAATGTTGTTTTTCTGTAGTAGGAACTATTTACCATAAGTTGACCTAAGTTAGAGTTTGAGGTTGTTGGATAGATCCTCTCCAAGGGGCCGACCTTATTGCCCTTATGTGACACCGAGGTATTTTGGATTTGACCTCTGCTTAGTTTTAGCCTTTACTACTCTGTCCCACAGCAGCTGTGAGCAATTAATTACTAGGTCAGTACGCAGATAGATATCACACCCAGCCATCAGGACGAGACATGAGGGGGGGGCAGCATTAGACAACCCCCGGCATGGTCATTAAACCACATTCCGCTGCTTAGATTTGATTTCAAATGATTCCCCAAATTCTGGATGTCAGACTGTCATGAACTCCATGCTCCCATCGGGACTTTGTTCCTTTAAATGAATCATACAATTATTTATAAACACAGGCCAAGAACAAGTTAGTTGGTCATGATGTGTTGCTAAGGCTCATATTAGAGATAAGTCAGTGTTATCCCAGCCACTGGGATAACAACCTGTTTTAACTGAATGAGCTCAGACTACAGCTACAGAGGTGATGGTTCCTATTTACCACAGTAAATATGGTGTGGCACAAATGCACACATATTTTGTAGTAAGTAAGTAAGCTATAACTGAATATAAGAATGGGACACGAATGCTTTGCATGCAGACAGGGATGTGAGCGAGAGGAAAATCAGAAAAGGGAATGTTTGAATGCTACTGCCTCTTTGTCAGCAGTTTTAGAACTCGATTAAAAGCTGCACAGACGTATTATTTGATATGCGCATTAGCCTGAAATGATTGACTACTAAATGAATGTGGTGTGATACCAGGAGTCAGGGTATCAAAACTGTTAAATATCCTTTCAAACTTAGTCAGACCAAATATAGAAAGTTTTTACTTCAAAAATGTGTTTCAAGCTTATTAAGAAAGTATTTTTCTTTCAGCACTGGTTCACAGAACTGCCCCCTGTGTTGACCTTTGAGCTGTCCAGATTTGAGTTCAATCAAGCTCTGGGACGGCCTGAGAAGATCCACAACAAGCTGGAGTTCCCCTCCATGCTCTACATGGACAGGTGAGGGAATGGAAACTCACTCGGGTCTGCTGTGAGGAATCTGTGGGCTCTGTTAGCTGAGATGAGCAACCCCCCCATGTTGTTTGAACTGAACCCAGGTACATGGACAGAAACCGGGAAATAACCAGGATCAAGAGAGAGGAGATCAGAAGGCTGAAAGAGCATCTCACTCTGCTTCAGCAGCGACTGGAGAGGTAAAGTTTGTCCACAAAGATCCCTGCCTTTTAGCTGAGGTCAGCAGAGCTCCCCATACAGCTGGTGTCTGTTTTCTCTCAGGTACCTGAGTTATGGCTCAGGCCCCAAGAGGTTTCCTCTGGCAGACGTCCTCCAGTACGCCATGGAGTTTGCCTCCAGTAAGCCAGTGTGCACCTCCCCAGTGGAGGACATTGACACATCGGCGCCCCCCGGTGGCACAACAGGTCAACAGTTGCCACAGCCAAGGCAAGTGCCTCACTGAGGACAGTTATTTATGTTGGAAGGCACTTTCATCAGTGAATGAGCCTCAAACCTCTCTGCGTAAAGGCAACCATGTTCTCCCTGTGTTGATACTTGATAAACAGCTCAGTTTGAGCCTGTCTTTATGCTCTCCCTGTTTCTGGCCCTGCAGCACAGCCGAGCAGGACTCCTTACCCTCCGCAGAGAGCTCAGGCCTTGCCTCGGGGCCCGCGGCCGCTCCCACTGCAGCTCAGCAGCAGAGAGTACCCATTCATAAGCCTTTCACCCAGTCCCGGCTGCCTCCCGACCTCCCCATGCACCCGGCCCCCCGCCACATCACAGAGGAGGAGCTGAGGGTGCTGGAGGGCTGCTTGCACCGCTGGAGGAGTGAGGTGGAAAACGACACCCGCGGTACGTCTCCCCGTTTCCGTGTGATGTTGCAGACATGAAAGTTTGATTTGCACAAACTGATAAGTTTCCTGTGATGCTCTTCCCTCCAGATCTGCAAGGCAGTATAACCAGAATCCACAGAACCATCGAGCTAATGTACTCGGACAAATCAATGATGCAGGTGAGCAGCACACAAATGAATCCCCTCGTTAGCTGTGTGCTCCCTCCGGCTTACAGATGCTTCAAATGTCCCATTTTCTCGCTCTCTTCACAGGTTCCTTACCGACTTCATGCAGTGCTGGTCCACGAGGGCCAGGCCAACGCGGGCCACTACTGGGCTTACATCTATGACCCCCACCAGCGCTGCTGGATGAAGTACAATGACATCTCGGTGACCAAGTCATCCTGGGAAGAGCTGGTCAGGGACTCTTTTGGAGGCTACCGCAACGCCAGTGCCTACTGTCTCATGTACATTAACGACAAGAAGCCATTTCTGATAGAAGGTAAAAGTCAGTGGTGGTGCTGATGTGTGACATCTAGAGCTAACTGCTGTTTATCTTTACTTTAAGGAGGAAAATCTTTCATGTCATACCTAGACAGCAACGGATTGGCCAGTTTTAACTGCGTTACAAACCTCATTATTAGAAGCTTTTATTAAAGATAAGTGATGTGCAGGAAGGTTTGGAGCACAGTGATGAGCATTTATGAATAAGATGACAAGATTCCCTCCTACCTTTTGGATGTTAATACCCCTGATATTAAAGCCCAGAGTTTACACTTTTAGCTTCAAAATGTTTTGGGAAACAGCTAAATAAAAGATTATGTCACCGTCCTAAAAGTAATGCAACAAATTACTTCTTACGTGTGCAAATAAGCGATGCAACACCTTAGATGAGCTCTGGAGTCTTCCCAGCAGACCGTATCATGCTCCTTATCCTCCTGTGTTTCAGAGGAGTTCGATAAAGAAACAGGGCAGATACTCAGCGGCTTGGACAAACTGCCTCCAGACCTCAAACAGTTGGTGAAAGAGGACAATGAGCATTTTGACAAGGAGATCATGGAATGGGACACCCTGCAGGCCCGCAAGGCTCAGCAGGAGAAGCTGGCTCTGGCCGCAGCAGCCGCCGCCGCGGCTGCTGCCGCTGCGTCCAGCACTTCCACCTCTTCCTCCTCTCCACAACCAATGAGCATCGAGTCCAGCCCCCCAGACAATTCAGGTGAGAGCCCTCGACTGTCAGGGCATTACGGTGGAGATTTCGCTGTTAGATTTTTTAGAGGAAAATAATCAAACTCCTTCACGATACTCCCTTTGAAACTGCTCGCCACCCCCCACAGTGCCGCAGCACGACCTGGAGTACATGGAGCAGCCATCGCCCACCAATAACTCCAAGCACCTGCAGGAGGACACAGAGAGGGCCATCTCCAGGGCAGCTGCAGAGCAGGAGGAGAGGAGCCCCGAGGCCTTGTTGAATGCAGTACGTGAAGCTAGCCAACACAGCACAGCATGGAGGCACTTTAGATTTATTCGCCTTTTTTTTCTTTTAATACATATCAAAAACACGCCAATTGAACCTCAGCTCACGAGTGGGCAAATGCTAATGTTTCCGCTCATCATTTGCTAACTTAAAGCAGCATTACAGCCTCACAGAAACTTTGCCCTGAACCACAACTCATTAAATGTTTTCAGTGTCTGTTGGCAGCATCTGAGGTCCCTCACAGTTATGGGATGAAGCTCCACTGTCTTAAGGGGAAAAAAGGATCAGTCTATCTGAGCCATGCGCACACGCACAGACAGGAAAGTTTCAGGATGGAGACCAGAAGCCACTTGAATAGAGCATTTTGTGTATTAAATGAACACATATTGAAAGCTGGCAAAGTGCTCTTCATTTCCATGTTATTTGGACTTGTCATTTGAGGTAGAGATGACATTTATTATCAATATCATCTATTTTATAAACAGGATAGCAGAGGTGAATATACTGGTGTCATAATGTTGTGTATGTAAAACACATGGAAGTGTATAAACACATTCCCGTGCAGCGTTTGCATAGAACTAATGTTTTCGTCAGATGTTTTTTAGTAGAGATGAAACACTCCTGAACCCCCTTCGTCTGATGACCTTTGCAGAGCAGAGCGAGGCCCACTTTTCCACATGTCAGGAAGTTTTCCAAAAAATTCACGAAAAAGACAGAATGCGCAGATTTAAGGTTCCCATACATCCCTCGTGCTGCTTTAGAAGCTGTGAGGGGATGTTGCATTCAGGGAAACGGAAACGCAGGAACTCTCAGCTTAAATGACTTGCAGAGTGCTGAGATGTGACGGTGCTTTATTCCCCCTCTTTGTACAGTGTTTCTTTTCTGTCCATGAGCCCTCCTTGTTTCATCTGTCACGTTTTCTCTGCAGTCACCTCCCCCTCCCTCCTCCCTTGAACCTGAGGTCCAGGTGAGCTCCCCCCCTGCCCCTCCCTCTGACCGGGCCACAGAGGACGAGTCCTCCAGCCAGCGCACAGTCGAGGTGGCAATCCCTAATGTGGGGACCTTTGTCATTGAGTCAGAGGAAGGGGGGTACGATGACGAGGTAGTTCTGGGCCCCGGCAGATCTGCTCTTTCTTCGTCTGCAGCTGTTTGACTTGTGGTGACTTGTGGGGGGGCCGGGGTGGTGACTGCCTGTCCACACGGCTCTGCGGTGGCTTGTCCAGACCTTAGAAAGCCTGACACTGTGTGCTGACTCTGGACTGCTAACGCGATGCAACCAGACTAACCTCTTTGTTGGCCTTCCTGCAAAAAACTCTTGGGTGTAAAGCAGCTACTTTGCATTTTGGGCATCTTGAGCAAAGGGGCGGCGGACTTTCTGCAGGAGAACCGACTCCAGCTCCACGCCGTGATACGAAGACGCTGCTGTTTGTGGGATCCCACAGCGAGTCGCTCGGAGATGGCGGATTCCCCGTGTGGGTGCTTGTGAGCGTTTGGTATAAGTCAGCAGCCGGGTTTCCATTCCCAGCCAAAGCACACCCGGGCTGGAGTTTTTCCCCAAATTCGTCGTCTTTTGAAACCGGGAAAAAAACTGCTCAAGTTTGGGCACGCCTTCTTTTTTTTCCCATTCACGTCATCTAATTGGGAACCCAACCTGCAATGGAAACTCGGCTAACGTGCGCTGAGAGCCCAGCTGTGTTGGGCCCGAGCTGCTCGCCCATGCGGCTGTCTCGCTCCTCCTCTTCGTCTTCTCACAGCTTCCTCGTTGAGGCTGTGCGTTTGTCCCTCTCGGCGCTGTGCCACTAACCAAAGCATGAGCTGCTGGGTGGCGTTTGGCATGCCCTAACCCCGGTGTGCTTCACTGTAGAGAACACGTTAAGGGTTGCCCCTGCTCCGTTTTTCACGAGGACCTGTTGTTCTGTTTGACATGGTTCCTGCGCCCTGGGTAGACAATGATGACCCCCAACATGCAGGGTATAATTATGGCCATTGGCAAATCCAGCAGCATATATGAAAAGAGTGGGCCTGAGGCTGCCTTTTTTAAGGTACACCCTCTCTCCTTTTCCTCTCCTCTTTCTACTTTCACTCACACACTCTTTTTTTCTTTTTTTAGTCTGCATTCATGTCTTTTTTTTTCCCACTGTTTACTTTGGCACAGTCCAGGAAAAAGGACAAAGACACACTCAGAACTCAGATGTTTGTTAAACCCATCCTGTAATAGATTTCCCATTTCTCTGAGATCTCCACTTTTCAGAGGGGGGGAAATTAGACATTTCCAACCAAAAAGCTACAAATTATTTCACATGATGTTAATTTTTCTTGACTTAAAAGCCTTAGAACCTTAGAAAAGCTTTGAATGTTCCTTGACAAACTGCAGCAAGCTTTTTTTCTAACTGTGTTTTCTACCTGATGAGCCAGCTGCAGGAGAGCTTTAACCACCTCGTGCCTCGCCTTTCTCCTCAGGCCATAAAGTTGGAGTACGCTCGTCTTTTGAGGTTTGCCCAGGAGGACACGTCCCCCGACAACGACTACCGCCTGCAGCACATCATCGTCTATCTCATCCAGAACCAGGCACCCAAGAAGATCCTGGAAAGAACGCTGCTCACACAGTTTGCTGACAGAAATTTGGCCTTCGACGAGAGGTGGGTTTGACCTCTGGGTTTCCACAGCTGAGTCTTAACAGCAGTCCCGGTAATGGCCAGCAGAGGGCAGCGTTCTCATTCTGCTAATCCTTTGTGATGCATATTAGTTCAGTCTTTTGTTTTAATGCAAATCTTCAGCAACACACGTTTAGTAATATTTTTGCCCATTTTGCAGACAGATTTCTAGATTCCCCTCTTATTTACTCGGTGATGTTTGATTCATTAAGGGGTGTAATGCGCATTGCTCTCCCTTAAAACTTCAAGCTTTGCTTGTTGGCCTCAATCCATATTCATGAGTGAGAAATTGATTTCTCCCTTCTCTATTTTGAGCGAGATAATTAGATTTATGTGTGCGTGTGGCCTCGATTGGAGCCTCGGGAGGAGTGTTTCACTTCTCCTCTCAGCAGTTAAGAGTGATTCATTAGGCCATGTTCAGGCCTTGGGGCGGTGCACAGCATTTCATCTCCTGGAGTATCTCACAGTGACTCACCATCTCTGACTCCGGTTCCTGTTTCTGTCTCCCACCTCTTTGGCAGATGTAAGAGCGTCATGAACGTGGCGCGGGCTAAACTGGACCTAATTAAGCCCGAGGAGGTCAACATGGATGAATACGAGGTGAAAAGGGAAACATTTGAAGCTGTCATGCAGTGGATTTCCGGCCTGTGCTAACTCCCGTTGATCTTTGTCAGATGTGGCATCAGGACTACAGGAATTTCCGAGAGACAACCATCTTCATGGTGACCGGTTTGGAGCTCTTCCAGAAGTCAAAGTACGATGAGACGTTTCCAGACTCCTTTTTCTTTTCCTTTTTTTTTTTTTTAGATGTTATCTCGGTTTTCTTGCCCCGCTTCCCCAGCAGGGGGCAGCAGCGCACAGGCTGCCGGGCAGCAGGCTTTCTAGCCGTGCAGTGGGTTCATTGGGTTCTTTTGTTCTGCGAAATGGTCGACTCTCTCAAGTTCTCAGTATTTCTTTGATACAGTTTTATCTGCCAGTAATATCTGTGTATCTCCTCCCTTCCAGTTACGTGGAGGCCCTGATGTATCTCATTTACTCGTACCAGTACAACAAGGAGCTTTTGTCCAAAGGGCTGTACAGAGGACACGACGAGGACCTCCTCGGTTATTTCCGCAGAGAGTGTTTGCTGGTGAGGCGTCGCTCGCTCTGAAATTGTAACCTTTGAAGTGATGTCAGAGGTTACGTCCGATCCTTTGTACTGTAACTCTGCAATTAAGGAAAAAATTATTCTTGGAGTTTTGGAGCGGAAATCTTTCTGATTGGCAGCTGTTCCCTGTGATCCCCGTCTCCTCTCTGTCCCTCCCTTCCCTCGGTCAGACCTCCTCTGCTAAAGTGACTCAGCAGAAGCCCACAGTGCTGAGCCCGGTTCCTATAATCAAATTGCTTTTACTGAGATATTGCTTTGGCATGCTCGCAGCCCACAAAAGATTTCACAGAAGGTTTTTCATCTGATCCTGACAGATGAAAATCCTTTCAGCGCTGAGATGTGAGCCCCTTTTCATTTCTCTCCCACAAACCAGGCAGCGCTCTGGTCTTATTGGTTAGAGCTGGGGGTATTTTGGTCTGATGGCTGGTCCACAACAGCCCTCTCGCTGCTGCACTCAGTAACCTTACACCAGCATTGTGCTCATAATGTAATCATTGTAGTGGGAATAGGAAGCAGGAGGGCCAGCAAGTGTAAACACATTACCATGAGACACAAGCGCGTCCTCAGCTAACCCCAAACCCAAGCCCCCCCACGGCCCCATCGGTCATCTCAGATCTCTGGCCAGAACCTCGGGCTCTGTCCACACAGCTGTTTACCTTCAGCTCTTGTTTTAATTGAAAACACTGCCAACATTGACACAGTTAATGCACTAGGAAATTTTTTTTTTTGCAAAGCCAGCCTCGCAGCCCTCGATTCCAAAGCGGCCTCCAAAAACCGGGTCGCTCCTCACGGAGGAGTTCAGCGAGTTTGTCTGTGACGGCAGCGGAGGTTTTGAGCCAAGAATGGGAAGAAAAGCAAGGCTTGCGTCCACGTTGGGGCCAGAATGTCCGGACTTATCTAACAGGAGACGGGGGGAATTTCTCTGAAAGCAACATAAATGATGGCACCGTTCTGACGAGGTGCTTCATTAAAGATTAATTGCATTCTGGAGATGCTGCCACAGATGAAGGCACATGTGGGACAAAGAGCTGGAAAGTCAAAAGCACAGGCAGCCTGATGCCTGAATGAGTGTGAAAACCAGCACTGATTCTGAGGTAGAGTCATTCCTGTGCCGATCCAGTGATCACACCCTCCTAATTTGTCTATTTGAGCACGAAGAAATATTTTCTGTGGATGTCATCATGCCCGTAAATCTACGGGACATAGCTGGAAAAGAGTGGTCCTGTGGCTTTATGTCCGCTGCTTGAAACTTCACCACAGGAACCTCTGTTGCAGGACATGCCAATCTCTCTCTGCCTCGCGTCTGGCTCTCCCCGCAACCTTGGCTGGGAATAAAAGCGGCGAGTCAAATAGATAATAAAGACTAACAAAGATAGCTCCCCTTTGCCAGAATACATAAAAATGTTTCTTTTTGTGGTGACGGCCGGGCTCTGCTTAGAGGAAATGTTATGCCACATAAATTCAAAATCTGCACACAGTGAAAGTGAACTCACAACTGTCCCCCCCCCCCCCCCCCCCCCCCCAGAAACTGAACGAGCAGGCGGCGGTGATGTTCGAGTCGGGAGAGGAGCCGGAGGTGAGCACGGGGCTGGGCATCATGAACGAGCTGGTGGTGGCCTGCATCCCCCTGCTGCTGGTCCACGACGTGGAGAGGGACCTGCTGGCCGTGGAGGACATGAGGAACCGCTGGTGCTCCTACCTGGGCCAGGAGATGGAATGTGAGTCCCCGGCAGGACTTTCAGGGCTTTCCAGTCAGAGCCAGGAAACCCTCCAGTGTTTGACGAATGAATTGGACCCCCACCACCCCTGCATGGGTTTTAGGAAAAAGAGGAAATGGCACAACCCCTGGTATAAATGTTTAGAATGTGAAAGCAGCAGAAAGGCGGCAGAAAAATAATGCAAAAAAAAACAAGCTTTTAGTGTCTGAGCACAGCTTTGGGTGGCGCGTGCGCCCCTGTTCAGCGTTGGCCTCGGTTCCCAGTCACTTTTTAGAGCTGTGATCTGAATGTGCTGCTTCACTCTCAGCTCAGCTGACTGGTTGCTTTCACAGCAAAAACAGCGTCAAAAGCGTTTCCTTCCTTTAGATATTATGTAAAAGCAGACTTTTACCCAGTGGAACATGTTCACAGAAGTGTGAGCACGTTGTCGTAAAAGCACGCTGGTGCAGAGAAACGTCCCGACTGCGGCGTGCTGGTGGCGGACGAGCTCTGAGCGGGCGGCCAGACGGGCCGATAAGGGAACAGGCTGACCGTTCCCTTATCGGCCCGCAGAGAGCTGCTGGTCAGAGATCCTGGTCTTTGTTCAGGAAACGCTGAGCCGTATCACCCGGAGCCCAGTTTCACATGTGGATTCAGACGTGGAACATGCTTTCTAACGGCCGCTGTATCTCTTTGAACGTGTTTACCTTACGATTGGGATGTTTAGGGAGCCGATTGTCACCACCTTGTGATGTCTGCGGGGTTATTTATCGGCCCTCTCTCTCTCTTTCTGTGTTTTTTTTGTCCTCTTCCTGCCGGCAGCTAACCTGCAGGAAAAGCTGACAGACTTCCTCCCCAAGTTACTGGACTGCTCAACGGAGATCAAAAGCTTCCACGACCCCCCAAAACTACCCAGCTACTCCACGCTGGAGCTCTGTGAACGATTCAGCCGGATCATGTCGGCCCTCGGCAGGGTGCCCACGATGGGGAGATGAGCTCCGAGGGCTCTCCTAACCCGCCCGCGCCTTCCTTCCCCAACCAGGGGTCACTCGCTTCTAGCTGTAATTACTCTTACTCTTTTGCTGCTATAGGTTTTATCATTATGAGTATACTTTCACTCTTATTTTAAAGCAGAAACTCATTAGAAGGGGGGAGGAGGACAGGGTGGCCTGCTGGGGGAGAAAACGGTGGAAATCCTGCAAGAAAAAGTTTGAGGCTTTTTTTTTTTTTCCATAGTTAATTATTGTTGTTGCTGTTTGATCCAAGCTCCCCCAGCCACGCTCACATCCCCTTCTAAAGCCCCCCCCCCCTACCCCACCCCCCACACCGTGTGCGTGGAAAGGATCGCCCCGCTGCCCTGCTTCGTTTGGTACAGTATTACCACGTTTTGTTCTATTTTTCTAAGGAAGTGAGCAGGACGGCCTTCAGCTTTATCAGCGGCTCAGAGGATCTCGGGCCGGTCTCGCGTCTTTGGGGGCCGCGCCAGGAGGAGATGTTTTAAGTGCTGTGGTAGGCAGCCGTGGACTTTCTGTGGCTTGTTAATAAATTGAGAGAATAAAATTTTATTTATGGCCCTTTTAGGCCAATTAAACAACCTCTGGTGTCGTGTGGATGTTTCCTTCTGCTGCACGTTGCCCGCGGCTGACCTTCAGCAGGGAGGAGAGCCGCTGTCCAGCCGGCAGGACGCAGGACCAGTCCAGATGTGAGAGCTCCAGCTGTCCGGCCGCAGGAGCAGCTGCTGTTTGAAGCAGGCCCTCACCCACTATAAGTGGTAAAATAACCAATATCTTATAGGCATTATAAAAACACAAAGTAAAAGCTTTTGCGTGATTTTAGTGCTGCTAATTTCCTGAAGCGTGGGTCACTAGAAACGGCTGTTACCTTTCCAGCGTTCTGAGAGGTCACCCAGACAAAATTAAAGGAACCCTGTTCTTATCCAGGCTGCAGCTCGGAGAATAATCATTTTTAAAGCGATCGACTGTCCTTTTAGGTATTTCGCGCTGGATTTTACAGGAACAGTTGGGAAAATGTTTGAAATGCTGATATAAAACACAAATCTCATAAACGGTAAATGCATTCACCACTCAAGAGGCGTTTTACTTTTTTGAGAAGAATATTTGCTGGTCTTCATTTTGAGGACTGAAACCAAAAGAAAGGTTAGTTTTCTGATCCCCTTTTCCTTTGACTGAGATATCGGGGTGGGATTCGCTCTGCTTTAAGGACCAAATGATGGACGTCGATCGGTCATGTGATCCGACTAGTGATCCGGTGATTGGATTTCAAAAGTGAAACTCTAGAGTTCCACCTTTAGTAAAAGGTGTGACTCTTTTCCAACCTTTTATTTAGCGTTCTGTTTTTTCTTTGGAGCTGGGTTTGTCGGAAAGAACGGGTGAGACCTGTCCCTGTGTGTGTGTGTGTGTGTTGCAATGATTACGGTGTTGGCTGCTGTCATGAAATCATAAAATAATCGCCACCCCTTTCTTTCTTGTTTTCCTCCATGTCTGGCTGCTGGTTGACAGCTCTTCTGTTACGGTTGTGTCTCCTTTGGCCTCGTTGGATGGAGGCTCACACAGTCCCTGCCAAGCTTTCAGAATCCACCCATTTTTGTTCACACTCTCCAGACTGTGCAAGATCCATCGAATTAAATAGGAAAACTGAATTAATTGTATGGTAATGCGTTAACACCACTTTGGAACCTTGAAAGTTCAGTCCAATTGCTGTTGGGTTTTTTTTTATACAACCAAAGTGGTTTTATGAGGCTTTCCGTCTTTGCCTGAACAGCCAGTGAGTCATGTGAGACTCGCTCCCTTTGGTGAGCCACATCTATCTGAGGATCAATAATCCACCTCTGCGTTTGAGTTTTTAACCATTGTCAGAAGGCTCGACGTGTAATATGAGTTGGAGATGTGGGTTTTGTCCTTGTTTCACCCCTTAAAAAAAAAAGCAAGAGCTCTAATCAGCCCTGCTGTGTGTGTGTCTGTGTGTGTGTCTGCGTATAACCACCTTTGAGTTGGCCTTTTGATAGGCCCGTCTAAGTAGACCTTGTTGGATTGCAAATGTTTATGGGGCATTAATTATCATTTTTGGCAGTGGCATCCCCTAATTTTGCTCATTATTTCTAGTGACTTGAAGTGGGGCATGAAGCCAAGCCCTGCCATGATTATAGAGGGGAAACAGTGTCAGTTTATACAGTCTGTGATACTGATGGACGTGCTTAATGAGCGGTTTGAATTGGTTTTCCAACTGCACACAAATCTGAAGCCCCATGGACCCAATTCATGACCTGCTGTTGTTTCAGGGGGCAAACAGCTGAGTCAATACAAACACTTCTGCCAAGTCCAGCTAATTATATATGCAATGAATATGGTGCTTATTTAAAAAAACAAAACATGTTTCATCCAATAGAGTTTACAAAAACATTTCAGGGATATACTGTACAGCATGGTCTAATATTTGCCTTTTATGATCGTGTAAAAAAAAAAAGAGGTTAGTGTTTGACAACAGCCCTGTAATTCTGTAAAGAATTTAGAACATTTTCATGAAGTCTGTTTCTGCTCAAATGCTGATTCTTTGCACAGACAGTAATAAAAATGGAGGCACATATTTATTTTTATCTGGCAGTGGGGCTGCCTTGCTGCCTCTGCTGGTGGTGGCGTAGAAAGTATCGCCCGTTGTGAGAAAACTGAGTTTGAAGTCGACATCTTGGAACTTTGAGCAGCAGCACTCCAAAGCGCACATTCAACGCCACAAAAGAGCGACTGGTGAGGACAAGATGGACCGTTTCAACTTGTCAGCAAGGAGTCTTTACTTAGTCCCCGTTGAGAGCCTTCCACCATCCCAAAAAGAAAGGAAACACTCCACCAGCACACTTAAAAGTGCTGGAAGAGTAGCAGAAATGATCATGAGATGGCTACATGAGGCCTCCAGAATCCTTTGAGATGCATTCAGAATTTAGCATCCCCTGTCTTTGTCAGCCTCCGATCCAGATTATTTTCACATTATCCCAGAAGAAAAAAGGAGCCCAGCATTGCAGGTGCTCAGATCACTGTCCAAATCTAACGATATTAGTTTTCCCATCCCTCCAGAAAGCATCTACCATGATGGAGCTTTCTGTCCCTAGGGCTGGTGATTTTTTTTTTTTATTGCATTGTTTACCTCTCTGATCTGAGGATCAGGATGACATTGGACCGGTTAAAGAAGTGTCATGTTTATAAATATCTGGTGGACATCAGCTAGTTCAACAGCTAGCTTCTGGATGCACGTTACTCTCTGACATCGGCACATTTACCTTGAAGTGATGGTGGAGCCGCTCTCATTTAGCTTCTACGGTTAGTTAAAATAACATCCGTCGTCTTATGTCAATATCTGAGCTCACAACCCTGCAGACTGGATCTGCTTCAGACATCGCCTTGGGCGCTCGATTTAGGTCTGATCCGAACAAAACAAGTGTGCACGCTGCCTCATTTGGACGACAGAGACACATCAAGACAGGCTTGGAACAGAAAACGAACCCACTTCCATTCCGAGGGATTTGTGTGTAGCGTGTCTGAAGGTTAGGTTTAACCAAACTGAATCCATTTTATTCTGTTTGAAGTTTTTAAAAAGAAATCAAAGCCAAACTGACTGTTTTCACAGGAACAACCTGGTCTAGTGATCATCAGGGCGTGAGAGCCCTTTGGTAACCGCACAGGTTTGATTAGTTTGTATTAGTTCAGGTTCAGGCACGCAACGCCAAGGAGGAAAGACATCAGCCATGGTCCCAGAGAAGCAGCTGTTGCTGCCTAACAATCTGTGGAGAGCTACAGGACCAGAAGTTTAAAATCAACTTCTCCATCACAGGTACATCTGAGACCGTACAGGCCTCAGGCAGAAGGTTAATGGGTTTGAGTTTGTGAAAGCACAATAAGAAAACGAATGAACAGGTGTGACTTGTTCGGAAAGAGAAGACCAAACTGGAGATGTGTGGTCAGAATGCACATACCCTTTTGAACCCTTCAATGGCGTCAAATGCTCTGAGGGCCGGCTTTTCTGGGTATTTTCCACAGTCTTGATCCTAAGCTGAGTAACATTCACGTGGGCCTCTTTTAGGCATTTTAGGTTAAAAGATGCATTCATTTTAAGGAGTGAAGTGACCAGAGAAAAAAGTTTGGTTTGTCTGAAAATTTCCAAACGGTATTTACAGACCAAGGCGATCTTCAGATGCTGAGAGCATCGGCAAATATTCTCCATCGTCTCTCATAAATCAGGCCAGCTGCATAGTCTCAAAAAGAATCTCAGGTGAGCAGTTTTTCATTCCCATTCCGCAGATAAAAAGTCCTGGAATATGATTTTTGAGCTCCAGCTGTGTTTTCTCTCCACCACGAGCCTGAACCAGGTAAATCCTGCAGCTGTTGCAACAATATGTGACTTTTGTTTCTCGGGGAAAGCGATCGCTGCTGGAGCTTCCGGGGGCCTCGTAAACTAGAAGTCCGAACCCCACACGAATTTCCCCCGATAGATTTAAATCAACTTTGAAATGCACCCACTGCGGAGACCTGATGGCTCACCCACCACGCTCCCACCGCCGGCCCTAAACGTCCCTGCAAAGGCCTCGTTAATCCACATTTAATGGAGGATGGATTCAATTATAGCAATAAAGCTAAGATGAGTAGAAGGCAAACTATTTCCAAAATTAGGCTTAGAGACAGAGGTGTGCTTTGATACAAGCGGAACAGACGCTCAGTGTCAGAAAAACAAAACGAAAACACATGTTTCACTAAAAACTAACCATGTCTGTCAGGTTTCTGTTGTTTTATAGGTCAGACACAGTGAGGCATCAGTAATGGACCAGCTAGCAGATATATCTCACCTGGATGCGTCGCTACCATTTTAAACAGCTTTTCTGCCGTAGACACAAAGCTGGCTCATCCCTTGAGTTGGGGTTTGTCTTTTTTTTAACACTTTTTTACACTAAATTACATAAGAACCAGACTTACAGAAGTTTAGAGGAGCACATATTTCTGAAAATGATCTGGAACAGTAAGCTGAAAATGAGTGGAAAAAGCAGCAAAAAAACCTGAAAGGTCTCAAAAAGTTGAGCTAAACTGCTTTCAAATATCTGTCTGGCTGCTTTGAAGCATGATAATAAAAAAAACCTTTGTGCGTGCCTGCAGTTGTTTGCAGGTTAAATTGTCTTTTTTTTTTAAATAGATACATACAGTTAGATAAAAACCAACCAAATCACACGACCAAACTTTTCCACTTGGTCTCACCTTCTTCTGATTTACTGGCTTCCTTTGACATTGTTCTGTGAGCTGCAGGTTGAAATAAATGATCTGTAACAAACAGCTGTGCCTCCAGTGATAAACATCCAAAAAGGAAGCAGCCTGACCCCGTCCCTCTGCACACACACTTCCCACCCCGCTGTTCCACCTCAGCGCCGGCCGCCGAGGCACTTGAATTTGAAAGATGGATGGAGCAAACGACACATGATCTCCAGTCTGCTGTGAGCAAGCGTTACACAACCCTTTCTTCCCTTCTCGAGAAGTTGAATGACTTTCTGGCTGACTTGGCATTTGTGTTCCTACTTTGGAAATGTGCAATAAATAAATAAAC